AAGAAAGTTTTGAAACAATGGCCTTCATATTAGTAGAATTATCCATTTCTTCCATGAATTCCAGATCACCCATGGTGTTCTTGCATCCAGTCAGAAAAAGTGCATATGCATTCAATGCCTTACCATCTTCTGATTTGATAGGCGGCCAGTTAAGTGCTTTGTCCATGCAGGCACTGGCAATTTTCAACCCCTCACCATAGTGCTTCTGGAGTAGCCTTCTGGCTTCTTCATAGCCTCTTTCTGGTACCATATGCTCACAGCTACGGACAAGCTCCTGTGGCTCACCACTGGTATACTGCTCAAAGTAATAAAATTTGTCCTGAGGACTATCAGCCTTGCTGTCTACAGCATGCTCAAATGCCCGAAAGAAGGACTTATAGGAGAGAGAATCACCTTTAAATACTGTCACATCCTTGCGTGGCAGACTTGACAGATTATGCTGCTTGACAAGCATTTCAGTGATGACACTCTGCCTATGCAGCACCTCCTGGAGGTCCCTGTCACGTCTTGCATTTTGTGTTTGACTCTGCCACTCTGACCGATGCCTTTGTGTACATGGACCATCTGAAACCTGCAATGGCATATCTAATTGCCTTGAGGTAGCCTTTCTTTGAATGGATGGATGTGTTTGTGGATAATTCTCTTGTTTTCCCTCTACTTTAACTCTGGATAACCTCTTAGAGACATAGCTGTTCGTACCGCTTTGCTCATCCTCATATATTTCCAACACCTTCAGCCTTGCACTGGATTCAGCCAGTGCAATTTCAACTGCTAGCTGCTCCCTTTTAGCTTTAAGTTGTGCTTCTTGGAGATCAAGGGCTTGCTTTCTTTCCAAAGCTGCAGCATGTGCAACCTCTCTCATACGCACTGAGGACAATGAGCTACGTTCTGAACCTGCTGATCGACATGAAGTTATAGAGCCATGCTTGCTTTTAGGTCTGCAGTCTCTTAAACTAATCTGTGAAACACTATCTCCCATGTCCACTTCATCCTCCACTGCTTCATACAGGACATCTTTTCCAGGATCTGTAATGTTTCCCTCATTTTGTTTATCATGCTGGAACCGGATCCATTTCTTGGTTTTCTCAGTAAAACTAGTTACTGTTGCCATTTTAGTATTAAACCATTCCTGATCTAATTCCTTTTCTTCCTTGTCAATCAAGGCAACTACTGCATCATTAATCACAGAAATTTCTTCACACAAGTTAAAGAAATCGCCTTGCAGCAGCTCTATCACTTTGCAAAGGTTGCCATCATCTGCCATGAGATCATCCAACTTTTTAATTTTTATGGTAAGCTGAGCAATTTTCCCTTAAACTTCTCATTTAATGCCCTTTCCGTGAGTTTTGGCATTCTACTTTGCCTAAATTCTTCAATGGTAAGCTGGTTTCTAGAACTTTCAGTCATCTTTAATAATCAATGCACAATCTGCCAGGCAAAAGTTCTAAAAATTCCTTTTTTCAAAAAAATACTAATGCACAGCTGTTTCCATCCAAGGTGCAAGATTACCAAATTGCTCCAGACGTGGCTAGCTTAACCAGTTACTTTATCGTTGTATGGCATTAGTTGGTACGACTTCTTTTTACTTCTTATTGCCGTTTCAATGGCAGCTGTTTTTAGCGCAGGGACTTACTTGATAACATCTGCAGAATACAGCTCACCTTCGATGTCGTTGTCAGGCACACCTTTCCAGTTTCAATCGTTTGAGGTTCGTCCTATTTTTCCTTTTCTTTCAGATACGGGAATACGGATCAACTTCTAGACTTGCTTTCCAATGAGCAGAGTTTTCTGACAACATGTAGCGGCTCTTCCTTTCACTTTCCTTAGCCGCTTACGGAGCAGGTTACTTGTAACAAGCCAGATGCGAAAAACTTCCCAGAAACATAAATCTTCAAGCAAAAAAACTTTTACTAATCCAGTATTGATGTTTACAAGTCATAGTTGGCTCGTTAGGATTTTGGTCAGAAAACTATGTTACTCCTAACCTGACCGTCTTAAATCTGTTAACTCAACACTCACATTCATGGATGCTGTATGGAATGTTCCATTACTATATTACATAGAGGGGGGGGTTCTTTAACTGCAACAACAATACAAGTAAATATCATGTCAAGCAATTATATTAAGGTTTAACACAATATCAGAATAAAAAAAAGCAAATGTTTACTGAACACTATAAGATTCTTAAATGGCTCCTATAAGGACCTTGTTTTAAGTCTTTGTGCATCTCCTTCCTCTCTCTCCTTGTCTGATGCTCTAATTCATACCATAGAAAAAAATTAGCTTAATGCACTTTTTTTGTAAGAGGGTATGCTTGTCTGAAATGAGGCCTGATCTTGGACCTCTGTAAACAACAGAGAAGTCTATCAAGAAACAGATGTTATATTTATATAAAATATATATTTATATTTAAATTCTCATTTGACAGAAACAGAAGCATGGTCACCCAAGGACCAACAATAGCAGTGAAAGCTCTGAGTTTATTCAGAGTCAAGAAGCTATTTTCAAGCCTTTGCTACTGCAGTAATAAGAATCTGTCTGAGACTTAGAGTCATTCATACCTCTGGCTTTGACTAGTCTTGTTTGCAATCCATGTATTTTCAAAAAAAAATAAAAATAAAAATAAAGAAAAAAAAAACTAATAAAACAGTTATGTATATTAACAGAAAACGTGTGTCACGTCCTTTGGCACACAGTCATATGTACACATATGGACGACAAATTAAAGAAAAAAAGTGGAGAAACATTAGTACATGCTACAAGTTATGTGCTACAAAAATTGTAAAAAGTAAAAAAATTTAATTCAAGCTTCAAACCAGATCTTACTGCTGATTTTAGTTTTTGACTATTTTTACATAAGAGTTTGTGACAGTGTTAGAAACCACATAATACAGTTTATTTGAGGTTACTTAACAACAACAAAATTTAACAAAATGCGGTTTAAGAAAAGTGTGTGATAATTTAGGCATACGGTTTGCAAAATGGTAATAGGTTGAGTATAATCTTTACAAGATCACTATGTTAGTCATGTAGCTCCAGTGCAAAACAACAGAAGAAAACTTCAGAAAAACATGTCTTGGTGGATTGAATATATTTGGGATAATTTTTGAAAATTCTGCAGAACTGAAACATTTGGCCAAATCATTACTTTTACATTAAAACAGAAAGTGTCAAACACATTCTTGTTTTTTTATAATCAACAGCGCTCTGGTGATGGAATCTCAGACATCCCAGCATCAGCATGAACACTACAGCTTCTCCCTTGAAACACAAACATCCTTCTCTATCTGACTGCCTCTCACTGCTGCACAAAAGTTATCACTGGTATAGACTAGCCCTCCCACCACTGCAAAGAAAGAATTTTGACAGCAGCCTTTTAAGCTGCCAACTCAACAATAACAATCAGTTTAACTGCCTTACACTTTTTGTGGCTGTCTAGGCAGAAACTATGAAAAGAAATCTACTTGTATGGCCAAACATTTACATGCAAACACATGGTTATCAGTATAATACTGCAGTGCTTGATCATTAGGTTGTCTTGTAATAGTAAACCATTTTTCATTGGTACACCACATGACACACTACTAGGGCTGGCCCAAACAGCATTTTACAGGCTATGAATTTTCATTGGTATTCCCAAACAAGTATGCAAAGAGTCAGTAATACCCTTAAAATGCTCAGTAATACCCTTAAAAACACTACTATTTAAGTGTCTATTTGCTTTTTAATCAGAATACTCAACTTTTTAATCTGTAACAAACAGTTACACATTTATACATCTCGTTCTAAAATACACATCACAAAGATACATAGAAATTTGTATTGTAATGTTATGTCAGATAAGGAGACAAATGACTGACTGTATTTTTGCTTCCCTATAGCAGTGATGACAATGAAGATGTAAGTCTTAAAATCTTTGTTTAGCAATGTGCTTTCATAGTCAGTTTAGCTGGTTTACTGAATGGATAACCAAGTTTATATTCCACTGCTAACTTAGTGATCAAAGTTCAATTCCATCACAAGTGAAAAACTTTGATAGACAAACATAAATCTTGCACGTGACTGAAGACTCTGAGTTATTTCAATGTTTTATTCATAACTTACAGGAATACATCAAACTGATTAGAAAATGGGTGACCTATTAAATCATAGGAGTGTGGCTGTGTTCAGCCTTTAGCTAAGATTATTTAGGTATGATTTTTTGTGCCTAATACCATGCCCATAAATAAATATTAGAATATTCACATTATTTGGGCCAGCCCTACACTACAGTTTAGCCTTCATTAATCATAGAGTACAGCGGAGTGGAGGAAGAATGAGGAACATAACTCATTCACCCTCTCTTTCTCACACACACACACATACACAGACACTTACTAGTTAGTTTTTATGCACATCAGACTACAAACAATGTATTGGCAGACATTATAATGTGAAAATTTAATTATAAGTCTGATATTGGAATTATAGAAAATTACAAGGGAAATTTTGCATCTCCTTTTAAGCTCACACAGGAACTGAGACACATCTCACAACACTAACACAAGTGCGCGCGCGCACACACACACACACACACACACACACACACACACACACACACACACACACACTTGTGTATTAATAAAAGCCCTTGGGATAGACTAATGAGGTTACATTCACCTAAAGTACCACTGAAAGTAGCTCTGGATAACAGCATCTGTTAATGATAAGGTCAGATTTATTTGTGTTGTGGCTAAAGTGAGTCAGTCTTTAGAGTTTTATGTGGTCTTACACTTGCACTTCATATATGCATTATAGCCTGAACTTTCTTAAATGCTAAAGAAATTAAATAGGTTGTAATCGGCCATAACAAGGTCAGGTCAGTTATCACTATTGGCCCAGAAATCGCCCCCAAAATTCTGTCAGTGCATGCCTACAGTAAACCTACAGTAAATCTCATTTTCCTAAACTGAAACAGTCTCATCAATTGAGCACAAACACACACAAATGCACACACTCACATAGTCTGGTCGTTCGTGAACTCCAGCTCTCCATGTGTATCTTCATAGTCGATACCCCCTCCCCGGGCTGATCCTGGCTCTGTATGGTAGGGAAGTATGACAGTGCCTCGGGCCCCTGAGTTCCTCACCACCGTCACCTCCATGGTCCCGACACTCTCACTCACACGCATAACACGATCACTAAATGTGAAGATTCCTGCATGGTCATCATCCAGGATGGTCACAGTGGCGACCAGTGGCTCCACCAGCCGGCCCTTGGGAGCTTGGCCAACCTCATCACTCTCAAACATGCCTTCAGCATCGCCAATCCGTAGATTGAGCAGATGCACAAAGAAATGCTCGTCCTCCTCAAAAATATCATCATCTATTATCCCTACCTGAAGAAGGGAGGGAGGGAGAGAGAGAGAGAGAGAGAGAGAGAGAGAGAGAGAGAGAGAGAGAGAGAGAGAGAAAAAAAAAGTGGGGGAGATTAAGAGCAAAACGATGTTTGTTTCATGAAACAGCTTGCGTTCATATGGCTTAACCTCTCAAAGCCATGCATTCTAAAATGCAATTCTTGAAATAAAAACTCTCAAACATTCTCTTCTAATCTTTATAGAAATCTTACTTTTTTGTTTAAGCATCTGATACATTTTGTAGCATATAATAGAGCATGAGATACATTCTGAATTATTATGGCTTTAATCGATATTTCAGTTCAATTCACTCAGTGCCAGAAGACAGCACCAAACATAAGAAGAAAGAGAAAAAAAAACAAAAAACAAAATGTTAAAGGTGCGGAATATGGAATAAGAAAGTCACTACTTGGAAATATGCTCTAAAAATGCTAAGGTGCTCTAAGGATGAGCACTTGAAATACTTTTAGACTACAAATACAGACAACACCTCATTTCATGTTTATTTCTTCTGAAGACACAGCATGTTTAAGTAGGCCTCATATCTAATAATGAATCTTTAAAGTTTAAAAAAAGTTGTAACTGCCATTTTCTTAAACAGTTATATGAAGTTACAGTTTTAAAGCACTTTCAACCCAAATGAGAAAATTCATAGCAAACTGGGAACCAACCAGAACATTATTTTGTGAGGGAATAGCTCAGCATGGTTGCATTAGTGGGCTGTCCTACATGAAACTCCCACATTAGCAACATACAGCATCAATTTTCACCCAGTGATGACATAGAGGGTTTCCAGTTTTACATTAAACCCCACTTTTTTTCTTCCCTTCACCCAAGATGGCAGCCCCATAAATGTTACATAATTCAGTTACATGGTGGTGTTCATTTTTACTTCTTGCAGAATACAGTAAGTCATACTGTATCACAAACCACATCGTCAAGTTAGCACAAAATGTATTTAAAAACAAGAAGCTGTGGCAAGTTTGTCATAGAAGGAATATACTGACAGAAAAGATTGTAGGTGATTTAGACTTCCAATACTTGTTAGCTACATTAGCCTTTTATCTGTAAGAGAAAAAATGTATACATTTGCTGAACCATTCCTTTAAGTCTGAAGTTAAGAAAAAAGCATGTTTAAGGCACCATTCATGAATACAGATCCTGTACTCAAGTACATTAAAGGCCTTTCATGTTAGTAATTCTTCACCCCAGTGGTGTGTGCAGATTCTTACTTACTCTTAAGGTAATTCTCTCAAAAGCCTTGATAATTACTAATTGCGGTCTGGAGTGTGACAATACACACATGTAGGGAAATGCCACAAATGTTATTGATGATATATGATATTACATAATTTTGCATATTACACCACAACAAGCCGCTTGTCATCTTAAGTTTAAATCTACTACTAATATTTAAAACAGAGGATCGGGAAATGCATTTAATAAATATAGCCGCAAGCAGCAATCTGCGGGGTCCAAGCACCAGGAAGACATCGAGGAGTAAAGTAGTGGCCCCTGGTCGTAGAATGCAGCATATCTTTAGATTTTGGAAAGATCTCCTTTTCCTACAATTAAGACCACTAGGTGATACATCCACTACAATCTACGCAATTCATTTTAACATCCATGATAAGGATTCGAACCCACGACCCTAGAGTTTAAATGCAGAGGCTCTAATAGTGAGCCACAAGGCAACTGTGGCAGAACGGCACTTTTTGAAACAATTTATTGAAAGGAAGCAACAAGGAACCACGCACCATTTTAGGACAAAGTAGCAGCATAAACAAATTTCATGTCTCTGGACATAGAAAGCAGCAAATCATTGGATTTTTAAGAAAGACCCTTTATTAAATTTAAGATAATTAAGTGTGTGTTCACAACAACTGCTATAGCACCATCCAACATCTGTGACAGGGAATCAAACCCACGACCGTAATCTTCAAAGGTGGATGTTTTCATGGTGAGCTACAAGAGGCCCACAGCAGACCTGTTTTTTTTTTTAGAGAATTTATCGGTAGAGAGCAATAAGGAACCAAGCACCACTTTGGGAATTAGTTTCCACCTTGCAATTACTTTGACTACTGAGGAGTATAATTCCAAATGAAATCATAATACACTGTCAGTTTGGCATTTTGTATATTTGTGTCAAATTTGGTTATATTCAGACAATTATTGATGTATTTTTAGCCTTTTATGGCAGAATAAGCCAGTTCACATCAATTTATTCAAATCTTCAGCCACACTGTGCTTAGAATATGATTGTTTCAATATGATTGTTTTAAGAAAAATGAAATTTGATTTAAACTCAATTAGTAAGAAATGCCTATTCTCCATCGTTTTTCAACTATGATATTACTGACAGTTTAAGACCTGTATTTGCAAAATTGTTAGGCTTAGTGGAAAACATAACATTCAGAAATGCTCTTCGCTTAAAGACATACAGTAAAGCTTTCCATGCATTTGTCAACAATGACATGCAGTTACTGATTTGGCTCCCTCTGGTGGCCAGAGAAAAACTGTTGCTCTGAACAAAATTTGCTGAAATCAAATAGGATTTCCTGTACAGTACAACCTACACATATTTGCAAAGTAAAAATTCTCATTAAGATGCATAATTTGAAACAATTGTCATGTTTTTATTGTTTTTATTCTTAGAGTGGAATAATTATATTTTAGATTTTTGGCAGTAAATTGAACATTGTAAGAGCTAATATAAGCAGAATCAAGCCAAATGTTATAGGTTTCCTCAACTGATTATTATCAATATACAAATCAATTTTGGTCACAATCAGAGCATAAGTGACAGATTTGTGGTCCCTTGTTTCCGAATAGGCTGGACCGAACTGATTACTCCATAACTTGCAATAGCATTGTGCTTAATAGACAAGATTTTTTAAGCAATTATTGATCTTGAGACTTCAACGGTTTTGACCAAGTTTGAGACAATGCAAGAAAAACAGAAACAGAGTTTTTTAAAAGACTTGTATTTGCAAAATTGTCAGGCACGGTGGAAAGCATAAAATACAGAAATGGTCTTGACCTAAAGACATACAGTAAAGCTTTCCACTAATTGTATATTTTTTATTAATTAGTTCAGCATTGACATTTGCAGTTGCTGATTTGGCTCCCTCTGGTGGCCAGAGAAATATAAAACACCTCTTGCGCTAATTAAAATTAGTTGAAATTAAATTATATGATTTCCTGTACAGTTAAGCAACCTACACATATTGGCAAAGTGTTAATTCTCATTAAGATGCATAATTTAAAACAATAGTCATGTCTTTATTTTAATCTTAGACAGGAAACATTTATATTGTAGATTGTTGGGAGTACATTGAGCATTGTAAGAGCCAACTTAAGCCAGTTCAAGCCAAATCTCATACGTTTCCTCAGCTGATTATTTTCAATGTACATATCATTTTTGGTCACAATCAGAGCGCAAGTAACAAGTTTGTGGTCCCTTGTTTCTGAATAGGCTGGACCGAACTGATTGATCCATAACTTGTAATAAAATTGTGCTTAAAATGCAAGATTTTTAAAATAATTATTGATCTTGAGACTTTGACAGTCGTTTAGAGACCAAGTTTGAGACGTTGCCACAACTTTTCAGCAAGCAGTATGAAAACATCAGTTGATGATTTACAGAAAAACAATAGAGTTTTTTTAAAAGACTTGTATAAGCAAAATTGTTTGGCTCGGTGGAATACATAAAATTCACAAAGTTCCTTTGCTGCAAGATAGATGTTGCAAAGACTATGACCATAAGTATGTTTGAAGTCATAATTTGCATTTAATGCTGATGCTCCCTCTGCTGGGCACAAAAGATATTACCATTATCAATTGTGTGGCCAACCTGGGTTTAAGTCAAATTTCCACATTTCCTGTGCAATTTTGGAATATACATATAATTGCAATGTTTTAGATGTTAATTTAATTTTAGATGTGTAATTTGAAACCACCATCTTTTCTTTATTTCATCCATAGAAGAATATAATGACATTTTGATAATTACGCACTAGATTAAGTATTGTAGGGGCTTATGACAATCAATTTAAATGAAACTTTTCATGTTTCCTCAGAAAATAGTAGTGTACAAGTTTACCAAGATTTATCACAATCACCTAAAAACTAAAGAATCTATAGCCCCCTAAGTCAGAAAAGGCCAGGCCGAACAGATTCATTGGTGTCTTATGGCTGTTCTTTGCAATAAAGTCATGCTTTTTTTTTTGATAATTATTTACCTACGGACTCCACAGCTTGTTTTAAGACCAAAATTTAAACAATTGTCTTAAAATCCACAGGCTAGTTCGAAAAGCTCAATTTTCAAACATTGATCAATCAAAGAAAAACTTTACAGAATTCTAAAAGACTTGTATTTGTATTGGTTTATTTTGATATATGATCAAATTTATAGGACTTGTTTATGCTCTATAGCACCACCTCATGGCCAATTGAGGTCAAACTTTATAGGCTATTAGAGATTGCCTATATGGACACATGATATAATTTTTGTGATGATTGGCCAATGTTAAGCCCTCCAAATGCCTGTTGAAAGCTTATTGGCCAATGGCGGCCATATTTGTCCAATGATTCAGTTGTCCTTAATAGATCTTGTAAATATTAGGCCATGGATACAGCATGCAAAGTTTCAGCTCAATTGGCTAAGCGGTTGCTGAGAAACAGATTTTTGGTTGGTATGGCGCCCCCTATTGAGTAATCAGTATCAAACTTGGTGGATTTTCACAGAATCATGTAGCTTACAGGACGGATAAGTTTGATTTGAATTGGCCAAAGCAATCTCAATCTGTAGCCATTTATGTGAATTAAACCAAACCCAGAGGGGCTTAATTGACATGTGGCAGCCATATTGTTTAGAAATATTCAATTTATTTTGATAATTCTTGACCTCCAGACTCCCCTGAACATTTTGAGACCAGTTTTGTGTTGATATCTTGAAAAACCTCAGACTAGTAGAAAAATGTAGATGTCACATATTTTGCCAATTATGATGGAAAATATGGGGGCGGAGCTAAATACATGCACTGGAGCGTTTATGTAGAATAAAGCACGGATTATGTAGAAGCAAGAATTTTGAATGTAGGCCCCACGGTTCAGGGCATATGAGCCAAAACGTAAAATGTTTCTCTATAGCGCCACCATCAGGCCAACTGGGGTCATTTTAGTTGCCTGAGTAGTGGGGGGGGGTTCTACACCTACCCTCCAAGTTTAGTCTTTGGATGACTTACGGTGTCTTCTCCACAAACCGTTTTAGGGAAGAAAAAGAAGAAGGAGAAGAAAAATCCTAGCAAAAGCAATAGGGTTCCATGCACCTAAAGGTGCTTGGACCCCTAATTAGCAATAAGTATATGGAAAAATATAATTTTGTACTTTTTACATTATTTTTTTAGTGAGAACAAGAAGCTGATTCAAAATGTGCACTCTGCACAGTCTACAAAGTTTTTTTCAGTATTATTTTAGTGCATATTACTATATCTAGTAAAAAAAAAAAAAAGGAAAACAAAAATGTAAATACCAAAAACATTAAAATAAAATCAAACAAAAACAGAAACTGGAAATACATTTTCCATAGGGCTCTACAAGTCTAGTTTAGCTCTAATGTAAATATAACAAAAAACAATAAGGGTCAACCTGCTGCATTTGTTTTATGACAACATTAGGCATATATTCTTAAAAAAAAAATAATAATAAAAAAATAAATAAAAGATGTGATAAGCTGAGAACACTTTTGAGCTTTGCACATTTAATATTGTAATATAGGATGTATAGTTCTCTTCAAGAACAGGGCTGTGACTAAATCAGCCTAAATAAAAGGCTCACTGTCCTAGAGGAGTTCTGACAACACTGCAGCACTTTAGCATCTGTATAGGGTGGATAAAGTCCAGGAAGTTCATTCTCTGACACATTAAACCCTTTTTTATGATGACGGCAGTGCCAAAAAGAGGTTCAGAGTGCGGACAGTGGAAACTCACATCATCTTTCCAGGTGTGAACATAAGGTGAGAAAAAAGGACTTTGTAGAAGTGTGAACTCCCTCTCTCCCTCCACCCATTTACACTTAGCCCAACACCCTGCTCTTCCTCCTGCACTCTCTCACTTTTTCCTCTTTCTCCTCTCTATTGTTTCTTCTTTCCCATAAATGGAAGCTCTTATTGCTTATAGTAATCCAGATGCCGTTAATGTAACATAAATCTGTCTTTCTCTTTTTTCTTCCTCTTCTTTTCATTACAACGCTTCCTCTATCATTACATAGGCCAGACAGGCCGCACTAGCTGTCTGGCATTGAAGTAGGGGGAAAATGCAGAAGCTCACAATTGTTTGTAGTCTCAAATTGCATTTATACGAGGTGAAGTCTCGTTAGATGGCAAGCTAGGGGCTGACGGCACCCTTCCAATAATACAAGTTAAGCTTTCAGTTGCTTTCAATCTTCATATAAAATAAAAAATATATAGCTGCTGTTGGGGCAAAACCTTGTTTTTCATTTTTCATTTTTGAAAAAAATTGAATTTGCTAGCCGCCCTTTATATTGTATTAAAAATTAACAATTAACTAATAGAAATGGTCCAAAATTACTTGGAATAAATCATTTCTCCATTAGATTCTATTTAGCGTTTTTTTCCCCTAATAAAAGTTGCTACGAAGGTAAAGGTTGCAGCCCTCTATGGTAGTGGCTCTCACCTCCAATCTTAACTGTAAATAGGCCTGTATGATAAATATATCATCATGTGGACTTTTTTAATTTATATTATAATGATTATTTTATTGTACGTTACGTTAAACTGTCCATAGTTTTTGTGATCTAAAATGCAGAGTGCGCAGAGAAACTGAATAATTACAAATCTAAGAATAAATTTATAACCAATATAAATATCAACAGAGATGTACCAACAAAAATGTTGCAGTAGCAGGCTGATTAAACGTCATCAGTTTGAGACAATGCAGCCTTGGGTGCGCGATGCAGATAGCTAGCTAGCCAGAGATGTACAAGTTTCTCAGGGCGCTTTCACACCTTTTTCTTTAGTTCGCTCAGTTTTGATGAGAGTAAACACTCAGGTCTGCAACAGACAGCTGAACTGGTCAGGCTAAAACCGCAGGTCTTGGTCCGCTTCCAAACGAACCCTGATTCAGTTCACTGCTGGTGGAAACGCATTCTCTGAATTCATCAACAGATCTCGCTTTCCTCTTCTAGCAGCATGTCAGCACTGTACTGTCAGCATAATCTGCCTGTTTTAACGTTTGACTTTTTACAGACTCTCAGCACACGCTGTTGTTGAAAACGGCCATAAAATAATAGCAAAGAGATGCGTTTGATTTCAACACATATATCGTAGCGGAGCATATTTTTGGCCAAGCATCAACAACCTGAGTGGTTAAACTCAAACTGATAAACAAAAAAGTAAGATTGATTATTATTGTTGATTGTGACAGTGCTCAGTGCCCAAAAGCCGAGCTGAGTCGAGCGTGGTTAGTGTGGTTTGACTATTTCAGATGAGGTGCTAAAACTCTCAAAACTAAAGAGACCAAACAATAGATCTTTTTTGGGAAAGCCAATGCAGTCTTTTCAATGACAATACAATGGACTGCAGCTCCAGATCACAGTCCACATCTACCTTGTATTTTTCTATTCTTTTTGTCCTTTTCTTTTTTCCCCCTTTTTTAATACCATTACAGCCATATGTTTTTTTGGGTTTTTTTTTAACACAACAGCACATTTTGCACATCTACTGACAACTGGGATTATCTTTTTCTGTCCGACTCTCAGGTTTTCATTTTTAGCATTTAAGAAAGGAAAAAGAAAATTCTATTAAAAAAAGTTTTAGTTTGTCTATGGGCCACTATGCTTTGTAGTTATAAACAGGTGGGTCTTGGGGTGGAAAAGGCTAAGAACTCCTGCTCTAAACGGTTCATTCAATATGTTTATAGGTATATCACTTCGTCTAACAAGAAAATCTCAGAGAAATGCTGCATTGACCTTTTATAAATTTTTCCTATTTTCTATCTCTCTTTTGTGCTTGCAGTTTGTTCCCTTCACTCTCCCTGTTTTTCTTCTTGCGTTATCCTTATGTCTTTCTCTGTCTCATTTTACTTTTCATTTCCCTCTCTTTGCTCACCTTTATCTCTTTTCTGGTCTCTCCTGGCTTGAACACCAGCGTGCCCTCACTGTACTCGTAGTCTGAGCCGGCATTGGCTGTGCCATCCTCTGTGCGGTAGTCCACATAGAAGGTGCTTTCGCCGGCGCCACCCTGGCACACCACAGCTAAGGACAGCGTTCCACAGTTCTCCATGCACTGGCTATGCGCACTCTCAAAGCTGATTCGGCTGCAGGAAGCATAGTCATCGCGTTCAGATGCGTCATCCTCACCGGCAGCGGCTGCTCTCTTCGCATGATCTGCTGCATGCTTCTTTAGCACGTTACCTGCTCCGATCATCATGCGCGTAGCCTGGACTCGGTAGAAGGCCCGGCTCTTCTGCTGGTGCAGCAGGGCATAGTAGTTGGCAAGCTCTACCAGCTGCTCCAGCTCCTTATCTGGATACTTCTGCTTTAAGTCTTTTAGGATACGGATTACCTGAAGGACAAGATAAGAGATGGAGAGTGAGAGTAAGATAGGAGAAGCATAGGTGATGAGGGAGGGCAGGTTCTTAATAGCATTATTTGACAGAATATTTTCCATTATTTCTAACTGGGGTCATTTCATATTAATTATTTACAGTGTATGTGTTTCTTCTCACCTCTTTGCGGCTCTCGTCTAGCTCTTTTGCACTTTCCATATTAATGGTGGCATTGTTGGAGTTCAGCAGCATTGCCATGGCACCTGCACTGTTATTGGCCCCATCCTTGCATTGTTCTGCACTCATGGCCCTCACTGAACCCCTTGAAGGAAACTTCCCATCCATGATCATATCCGTTCCTTTGGGGGTCATCTCCCCCTCTGTCTCCACGACAACCCCCGTCCTCTTGTCAGCACGGTAACGCTTGGACATATACTTGTAAAAGAGTAGCCTACGATCGGCGATCCAAGCCAGAATCACACAAACTGGGAAGTAGCAGAGAGTGACCAGGGCCTCCCACACCTACAAAATACAAACATATGCATGCATGCACACATACATACATACATACAACAAAAATATATTCACATATGCATATGAAGCAAGTAAAATAAAAGTGTTCTTGTGCATAGATATCCAAATAACTGCACAGAAGTGTTTGGGTTGAAGAACTGACACCTGGTCTTAAAAAAAGAGCATGTAGAGATCATTACTACAAGAAACATGTGGGACTGGTTTTCCAGATATGGATTAAACCAAGTCTTGGACTAAACTGTAGTGCCAAAGTGAATCACCACTGGAAATTCTCTTTAGTCTAGGCTTAACCTTGATCTGGGTCTGGGAAACTGGCCCATATAGTGCTAAACTTATGTTTACTTTTAAACCTCATTAGCTGAGGCAGACAAAGACAAATGGCTACATAAAATCACTTTTCTGCACAGTGGAGAAGCAGTAGTATAAGAGTGCATAAATTACAGTAAACAAAAGCCTCTAAAGCGGCATTTAATGTAGCACAGAGTAACACTGTAACCACGCTTTCTTATTCAAGTCCCTCAGCCTCCAGTGATATTCTCAATTGTACACACACATACAGAGACACGTTATTTTTTTGCCTGTCTTTTAAACAGTAGGAACTAATTAAATTCACAAAAGAGAATATATTCCCTTTCTCTCTGTTACATACCTCAACGACTCCTGGTGAGATGATGGAGAGGATGAGGTACAGCCAAATATATGCAAAGATGCTCCAGAAGGCGGTTATGAAGAAGACCCTCAGGTGTTTAATTTTCCTCACCTCCCCATCAGGGATTACCCACACGCAGATGCCAATGATCACAAACATGTTGAAGGCTGCACTGCCCACAATCGTGCCAGGACCGAGTTCCCCTGATTCAAAACCATGCCCACACACCTGCAACACACACACACACACAGTATAGTTAGATGTGTGGTTGTGGAGCAAAGACTATCTTAGCTAGTAGACCAAACACCACAGAAAATGTATTTTCCAGGTCACTGCCACTCAGTACCCGTACCTCCCTTGAGAACTTGAACTTGTGTCAGTAGAACGTCATTTAACCAGAACTGAAAATTGTGCGCTAAATTTATTTGGCAATTAATTGGAAACAAATCTGAACCTGTTGCAATTTTACAATAGCATGAGACTTCTTTACCATTACACCACCTAACCATATTACATTAAAAGAGGGTCAACCACTGTGTCATTACAGCTCATGTCACTGTTTCAAAATCCTATACCTTTAATCTACTCATACACTATATGGACAAAAATACTGAGACACCCCTCCTTATTACTGAGTTTAAGTGTTTCTGCCACACCTATTGCTAACAGGTGGATAAAATTAAGTATATAGCCTTGCAGTCCCAAGATGGGGGTGTAAAGCACGCTGCCACTGGACTCTGGAGCAGTGGAAACGTGTTGTGTGGAGTGACGAATCACGCTTCTCTATCTGGCAGCCTGATGGACGAGTCTGGACATTATATTAATTTCGCATTTGAAAGCTAAGCACTGTGCCAGATCTCATCTTTGAGCTTATGCGGATAAAGTTAATACACAAAGATGTATGACGGAGTACTGCAAAATCCTACCTAGCACCCCTAAATTTTAAAGTTATTTATTCAAACTTTTCAGGGTGATTCACAGTAGTGCATTGACATAATAATTTAGCTGTTTTGTTTTTTATTTTTGCCTTACTCATTAATGTTACTTCTTTCAATTTTAACAAAAACAGCTTACATAGTGCAGCTTCAATAAATTCCCCAAACATATAAATGTAGATATTGAAAACCTATGAAAATTCAGATAAGCCCCTGCAATGTTATGGCACCATGCATGTATGCCATGGTTAATGCATGTGATGTATTTTTATGCTTGGATCTTAGCTCAGCAAGGATTTCAGCTGATAGCTTCCTACCTAATCTTGCTAACAACAAGTAATCTTATTCACAATGTTTGCATTCATGTAATTGCTCAGATAGAACTAATGGGTGGGTGCCTAATGACAATCATTCTTAAAAAAAAGAAACAGCTGGACCACACTGACAGAAAAATTACAATATAGCAAGTCTTAGCAGAGCTTACTTCAATAGAAAAGAAACTTCTTGAAGTACACACACTGGTGGATAAAATAGGCCAGACGTGTTCAATTTTTACTTCAATTTTTACATCTACTTTCATCACCTCTTGCTTGCTTGCTCTCTGTTCTCTTTCTCTCTCTCCCTCTCCTTCTCCGGTGGAGGGGCCTGGAGCAGACACCAGCTGAGCTTCACCAGCTGAGCCTCACCACCTAAGAATGCTGATATAAGACCCCTATCCACATAATCATACTTGGGCTATCGAAGCCAAAAACAAATCCACAATGAACATTTACACTGTGCATGTCTTCACATACATGATTCAGGCCCAGATTTTGGCTATGATAAATTTGTTAAATTATTGTCCTCTAGCACCATCCACACCATATCAAGGTGATAATACTTTTCTGTGTCTTTTTCTTAGACAACTTATTATTGTTACATCCTAAATGCATCACAAGCTTTCTTAAAAAAAGAACTTAATAGTATGAGATATTTAAACCAAAGGCAGGTCCAGAAGGCCAGCTGCCAGGTCAACAACATGCTAACTGTTTGCCGGCATTGCCGTAAATGGTTCATGACTGTGATGATGACAGTGACATGATATGATTGGCTGAGGCAGCATTAGATCCATAAAGAATAAGACAGGACGAGCTTACAAGGCATGAATCATTTTCTTATTATTTGCAGCACTGTTATCTACCTTTTATCACTGTGCAGCACAAGCAAAGTTGAGTAACAGCTGTTTAATTTTCACTTTAAAAAAATACTCAGAATTCCTGGTCTTTGCGTGAAAAAAATGTATGCATTAACTTTACTTTCAATGTGTACATTTTCACATGAATAAAATATCTTAAATCAACACAATTTTGTCTTTCACACTTTTAGCAGTAACTATTGATGTAGTATATTTTCAAGTCAAGTCAAGTCAAGAGGCTTTTATTGTCATTCCATCTATGTACAAGTACACAGTAGAGTGAAATTACGTTCCTCCAGGAACAAGGTGCAACATGGAACAAAAGAGTGCAAAGTGCAAATGTGCAGACATAAGTGTGCAAACAGTAAACAGTAAACAGACAGGACAGTGCAGCGCCGACACAGCACTCATTTCTGGACATGAGGTAGTGGAATAAGGAGCAAAGATTATTTAATATGCTGTGATCTGTGAGTATACGCAGTCAGATAACATACGTGAGCACAGCAGTTACTGAGGTAGTACTTGAGTAAACACAGTGTAAGCGCAGTGTTAGCAGCAATGTTCCAGATAGTGCAAGTAGAACATCAAAAGAGGTGTGTGTGCGTGTGTGTGTGTGTGTGTGGAGTATATGTGTGAGGGGGTATTCAGATCAGTCATTGTGAGTTTAAAAACCTGATGGCTTGAGGGACAAAGCTGTTGCAGAGTCTGGCAGTGATGGCACGGATGCTCCGGTACCTTCTGCCAGACAGCAGCAGTCAAAAAAGTCTGTGGGATGGATGTGGTCGTCCACAATGCTGGTGGCTTTGCGGATGCAGCGTGTGATGTAAATGTTCATGATGGAGGGGAGAGAGACCCCAATGATGATCTCAGCTGTCCTCACTATTCACTGTAGGGTCTTGCGGTCGGAGGAGGTGCAATTCCCAAACCAGGCGATAATGCAACTGCTCCAGATGCTCTCCACAGCCCCCCTGAAGAACATAGTGAGGATGGTAGGGGGGAGATGAGCTTTCAGTCTCCGCAGGAAGTAGAGGTGCTGCTGGGGTCTCTTGGCTATGGAGTTGGTATTGAGGGACGAGGTGAGGTTCTCTATGATGTGGACACTGAGGAACTTGGTGCTCCGGACGATTTCCACAGCAGAGACAGTGATGTTCAGTGGGGGGTGGTCACCTCACACTCTTAATAAGTGTGTCAATAACCATCTCCTTTGTTTTGTCCACATTCAGAGACAGGTTGTTGGTTCTGCACCAGTCCGTTAGCCGCTGCACCTCCTCTCTGTATGCTGATTCATCATTCTTGCTGATCAGACCCACCACAGTCGTGTCATCAGCAAACTTGATGTGGTTTGAGCTGTACTTTGCAGTACAGTCGTCAGTCAGCGGAGTTAACAGCAGTGGACTAAGCACATAGCCCTGAGGGGCGCTGGTGCTCAGGATGGTGGTGCTGGAGATGTTGTTACTGATCCTGACTAACTGAGGTCTCTCATTCAGGAAATCCCAGACCCAGTTACAGAGGGAGGTGTTCAGGCCCAGCAGGCCCAGTATTCCAATCAGCTGCTGAGGGATGATGGTGTTGAATGCTGAACTGAAGTCTATGAACAGCACTCTGACATAGGTGTATTATCCAGGTGGGTGAGAGCCAGGTGGAGTGTGGTGGAGATGGCGTTGTCTGTTGAGCGGTTGGGGCGATATGCAAATTGCAGTGGGTCCAGTGAAGGGGGATGCTGGTCTTTAATGTGCCTCATGACAAGCCTCTCAAAGCACTTTATGATGATGGGAGTGAGTGCAATGGGATGGTAGTCATTGAGGCAGGACACTGGAGACTTCTTCGGCACAGGGATGAAGGTGGTGGACTTGAAGCACGTTGGAACGACTGCAGTGCTCAGATAGATGTTGAATATGTCCATGTCAGCAGCTCACGCACCTCTGCAGTCATCCGTGGCTTCTGGCTGGGGTGAGTTGTGATGAGTTTGGAGACTGTAACATCATCAATGCACTTGCTGATGTAGCCAGTCACTGATTCTGTATACTCCTCCAGGTTGATGGAGTCACCGGAAGTTGCTGCTTCTCTGAACATCTCCCAATCAGTGGGATCAAAACAGTCCTGAAGATCAGAGATAGCTCCTGGCGGCCAGGTTCTCACATGCTTCTGGTTCGGTTTGGCACGTCTGATGAGCGGTCTGTATGCTGGAGTGAGCAACACAGAGATGTGGTCTGAGTAACCGTACTGGGGGCAGGGCTGGGCCCTGTACGCGCCGGGGATGTTGTGTAAACAAGATCCTGCACGTTAGCCCCCGGGTTGCAAAGTTCACAAACTGGTGAAATTTGGGGAGCACTGACTGACAGATTGGCATGGTTGAAATCTCCAGCAACAATAAACAGTCCATCTGGGTGCATGTTTTGGAGATTGCTGATAGCGCTGTACAGCTCGTTCTGCGCAGCGTTAGCATTAGCACTGGGGGCTATATACACTGCTACTATGTACACCGTAGTCAGCTCTCTTGGCAAATAAAAAGGCCTGGTCTTCTTAGCTCATCCCACAGATTTCCTATGGGGTTTAGATCAGGGGACTGGGGTGGCCATGGCAAAACCTTGATTCTGTGGTCAGTGAAACATTTTTGTGATTATTTTGAGATGTACTTTGAATCACTGTCCTGCTGGAAGATTCAAACTATGGCCCAGTTTAAGCTCCCTGGCTGGGGCAGTCAGCCTTTGATTTTATTTCTGCTGGTACTTGATGTGATACTATGTATCTGAATAAACTGTTCAGGGCCTTTGGAAGAAAAACAGCCCACAACATCACAGATTCACCACCATACTTGATGAGGATGAGGTACTTTTCTGCTTTTCTAACAAAAAACTCTATTTTGGTCTTATTTGACCATAAAACATGGCCCCACTAGGAGTTACAGTAATGTCTGGCAAATTGTAGATGCTTGAGCTCGTTGGTCCTGGACAGCAGAGGCCTCGTTCTGGCAAGATTTAGTTTTTTCTTTCAATCATTATACCTTAAATAAAGGTTAGGTTTTTGCTAATATTTTGAATTTAAGTTCAAAAGGAAAGTACTTAAGCATGTTTTTACACAGCTCATTTTGCTCTTGATTACCATGGGTGCCAATATTTGTGGAGGGCACTATATGCTCACATTGACATTATTTTGGATTATTAAAGCTCCAGTGAGACAGGCTGTCAAGAATAAAATGTTTTAAAGGAAGTAAAATAATTACAAAATGGTTTTGACTGTAAAATGTACTTCAGAGACAGTCATAAAATTTGAAAAAAGGAGTCTCAAGTGCTTGGCTGGCCCATGTACAGTTAAGTATATATTTTTAATACAATTTTAATATCAATATATGCTATATTGTGGTAATACTTCTTAATACTTCTTAAAGAATAGACTAATACAAATAATCCAAAATCACTTGGAATAAAACGTTGTTACAACAAATAAAGATAAATAAGTTCTTTTCTTCTCTTTTAATGTTAACATTTCAGAAATGGCAGTGACAAGCCACGTCCAAATTTGCAAAGATTTTTTGCCTCCCTTTTCTTGGATTTTCTCCTAGTCTAGTTTAGCTAAACTAGCCTTTTAAGCTATTTTAAGCAACTGTGTTTGCACATTTGCAAATATGTCAGTAATGTTTTACAACTTACTTCTCAAATAGTTAACAGTTAAGACAGAACATCTTGCCATGGACATATTCATGACACATCGTTTTTGTGAATAACTTTACAAGTGTGAGATATCACTACTGTTCAAATATCACATTATGATAAAGAAGCTGAACTTTCATACTTAGGTCTAATCTAGACCACATCTGGACACTCCTCTGTATTGTCTGCCACTAAATCACAGTGAATACAGATTAGTGGTTAACAACTTTGTTTTATTTTTCTTTTGCTTCTGAGTGTTTGCCCTATAGGATTTGCTCTGTAGGTTCCTGAGTTCTATCCCTTGTGGTACCACAGCCATCCATGGCCAGGAGTCCAAGAGAGCTAAACCGGCTTCATACTCTGGCTGGGTATTTTGGTCCTCCCTCACCGTTCATCACTTTGCGCTATGCTAGCCAACATGGGCGTCTGTTAGTTCAAGGTAAAGCTGTCCAATGATTTTGCTTGAGCAGCAGCTGGAGAAGATATGGTGACTGACTTCATGTGTATCTGAGAAATTCCAAGCTAGCCCTCACCATCCCAAGTTGGTGACATTATGTGAATGTTTGTGACTTAAGGACTTAACACTTTGCAATAATCATCACAATAATGCTGTCACAGGCAAAAATGACAAATTTGAAAGAATTCTTTGATTGTGAGTTAAAATTCTGGTCTTTGGACATTTAAAGTAATCTGCTACACGACAGCTGATTTAGAGCCTTTGCAACCAAAAACAAAGTTCTGGCAGTGTCACAAATTTTGTTTTTTTTAAACTACGATGCTTTCAAAATAAAGCTTGTCATTATGCCTTAACACTTAAATATGAACACACAGTACATTAGCCGGTATGCAGACTAGATAATATCTGCTGATGGCACAGAAAGCAGACACAGGGCTGCAGAAAAGTGTTTTTCAAATTATTATTAATATGTATTGTAATTACATATAGATTAAAATATATTATAATTAAAAAGAGAAAAAACAAGCAGCCAAATAGACAAAGCCTGATCCAAGCTTGTTCTCTAAAACCCACCAAATATTTAACTTAACCACAAACAGCACTTTAAATTGGCTTTTCAAGCAATTTTGTGGTTGAACATACAAAAAAATCATTCACTCAAGGGAGGAGAACAGTCTGACAGATGCATGACATTTATATTGCCATTTATTTTTCAAAGGTTTATCTGAGTGTTTTTCAACCTGTGGGCTGCAGACCCACAATCACCACAATAATTTTGTCACAGGCAAAAATTACAAATTTGAAAGAATTCTTTGATTGTGAGTGAAAATTCTGGTCTTTGGACATTTAAAGTAATCTGCTACACGACAGCCGATTTAGAGCCTTTGCAACCAAAAACAAAGTTCTGGCAGTGTCACAAATTTTGGTTCAAAATCTCACAAAGTGACTGCAACCAATAACGAGCAATAATGAGTGGCTTCAGTGAGAGAGAGTGAGAGAGAGAGAGAGAGAGAGAGAGAGAGAGAGAGAGAGAGAGAGAGAGAAAGAGAAAAATTATGTTATGTAATGTTTACAGAGTGACCTGCCTTGAAACATCAGAGCTGCCACATATGACATAAAAATTAGCCCTTAAGCTCACTTTGGAAAACAGATATTCCATTTTGGCAAAACATTATAAGCCAAGGACACAGCTTTTTCGGCAAAAAGAAGGTCCAAATAGTATGTTATCATTGTTTTGCATTGCAGATCTATTGACAGAAAATCTTTATTGTATAATCTGACCTGCAGCATAGCTGAGATTACAAAGTCTGTCATAAATTTGACCAAGACTTTATTTGCAGCATCTTACGCAGTGTGACATGCATTAAATGTATAAGACCGCTGTTATCACACAGTCTGCAGCAGGCTTAAGTTAGTGTGTAGAACTGGCAGCGACCAAAAATGTAATTAAACTGAATTAAACTAGTAGAAAAATTTAATTAAATATTTGTTTTCAGTAGCTGCCACAAAGTTATAAAAAAAAATATAAAGAGATATATAAAAATATAATATAAGTTACATGAGGCTATTTTACACTTCTAAAATGGTAAAGAGAAACTCACCTCTATGACAGACAGCAGGATCTCAGGAGCAGATGAGCCTAGAGCCATCAGTGTCAGGTTGGACACAGTCTCGTTCCAGATGCGTACAGTAGCCACTGATGTCTCTCCATTCGGCAGAGTGATGGTTACCTCTTTCTCCTGTGGAACAAAGATAACAGACTGGTCTTTCTGTACAAGGCAGTGAGGTAGAGTGTAAATGAAAGTTTCTTTGAACATTGTAGTACAGCATTGTCCAGCCAGCAGTTCATGAGCAGTCCATCAGTTTGAACACTGTTAAGATTATTTTAAACTATGATGCTTTCAAAATAAAGCTTGTTATTATGCCTTAACACTTAAATATGAACACACAGTACATTAGCCGGTATGCAGACTAGATAATATCTGCTGATGGCACAGAAAGCAGACACAGGGCTGCAGAAAAGTGTTTTTCAAATTATTATTAATATATATTATAATTACATATATATTAAAATATATTATAATTAAAAAGAGAAAAAACAAGCAGCCAAATAGACAAAGCCTGATCCAAGCTTGTTCTCTAAAACCCACCAAATATTTAACTTAACCACAAACAGCACTTTAAATTGGCTTTTCAAGCAATTTTGTGGTTGAACATACAAAAAAGGTTTTTTTCCTTTTCCTGTAAAGTTACCATTTTGGAGACACAAGGTTTTGTTCTGACAACAGCGATATGCTGGGCTGCACATGTGTGAGAACTGAAAACAAACCACCTCTCTGTGCTGTTCGCTTAGAGGTCTTTTCAAATGAAGCTTTGAAACCCAACAATTTACACTGTCACAAGGAGTCTACATATAATATTTACCTAAACTTATTGAAATAAGCCAGAATGTTTGCAACTTTCCTATCATCCAGCACTCAGTATCTGACAAACAAGATCAGCTACTTTGGAATATTTATTGTTATATTTAGACTGCAAGAGGGTGCCTATAACAACTGAAATGAGGCCATCAAACAATACATGCAAATGGAGTAGTGCCCAAAGATGCAAAGTTTTATTATGAAACAATTCTAGGTGTAACAAACAAAAAATTCTTACACAATAAAATAAAATAATAAAAAGTAATGAAGTTGACTCAGTAGAAACCTGGGGTGAATGGCTGAAAATACTGTCTAAAAAGATTTTGTGTGGCATTTCACTAGTCGAATTGGTGGTTACCTAACAAGCTTTACTTTATGGTGCACCTGTTGCTGAACAAGGCAGTCAGATGGGATCAGAAATCAAATCAAATTTTTTCTTTTGGTTTGCTTGTCAAATATACAAATTTTCGAATGCCAGATTTCTGAGACAATGTTATGTCTTTTAGATTCACAAATCCACAAGGGTGCAATCAGCATAAATAATCAATAAACCTCAAAAGCACAAGGTACTTAAACCACTAAAAATGTCTCTCATATGTCATGCAGTTATCAGATATGTGCATATGTGCATCTGTTTAATCTACATGAACATTTTTTTTTTTTTGATGAACTTAAACATTTCCACTTGTTGAATGGCCAGGCAAAGACATACCAATTGAATGATGCAATGTATATCATGAAATGAGGCTCCCTTTGGATTCTTGACGTTTTATTGATTTTTTTTTTTTTTCATCACTCATGACTCAGTAGCTGTTTCTCTGAAATGAAACACTGTAATATAGATTTTCCGGTTGCGCGTGGAAGACACCTGTCAAAGGTTTCAGAGCAGTTAAAATGGCCTTTATCCCTCTCTACCCTCAGGTACAGTAATGATGAAGTAAATCAATTTACACCAATTTGTATTTCACAAACTGGAATTACTGAGGCAGGTTCTGGGGAAGTGCTAATGGCATACACAGTGCACTCAAAAAGTATCCAGACCCCTTCACTTCAAATTTTGTGTTACAGCCATAGTCTGAAAAGATCAATATTTTTTTTATCAACCTGCAATAAAAATCATAAATAAACTTACAAGTATTTAGACTCTTTGCTATGACATAGAAGATACATCCCACTTTGACTCTGATCATCCCTGAGATGTTTTTACAACCTTAAAGTTTACCTGTGGTAAATACAGTTGATTGGACTGTCTACATAAAGCCCCACAGCTAACAGTGCATGTCAGAGTAAAAAAAGAAAACAAGGCTCCTACTAGAGCTGGCTGCTCAGCCAAACTGAGTAAACTTAAATATGAATTTAATCTATTTTAGAGTAAGGCTATAACATAAAATGAGGCAAAAGTCAAGGGGTCTGAATACTTTGATTGCACTGCATGATGGTGCAATTACTTTGCTATGTAACTATGATTTTTTTCAGAAACAAAATATATAAAATCTTGGTCATACAGTGTGTATTGTAGAATATAGCCTGTATGTTTTATTTAGCTACTGTGGGTACTGTATCTTTTGTAATAGTCTTTGTATCTGGCTGACTGGACCTTTGTATGTTTACATTATTCTGTATCAAAATATTGTAATTTATCTATCTATCTACCAAAGGCACCAAGGCACATTCATAGTAAATTCAACTGTTCTTCTCCAATAAAGTTATTTTGATTAAAACTTAAGATACTTCTGTTGTTAGCTGTTAACTTCAGAAAGTTTATAAACAAAACCATACATTTTATATTACTTTACATATTACTTTATACATATGTATTTTTTCCAACCCCAATTACCAAAAAGTTGGGACGCTGTGTAAAATGTAAATAAATGTAAATAAAAACAGAATGTAATGATTAGCAAATCTCATAGACCCATATTTCATTCACAATAGAACAACAGAATTCATTTAGAACTTGATGGCAGCAACGCGTCTCAAAAACAGGGCAGGGCCAAGTCTACCATTGTGTCCCCTCTTCTTTTAACAACAGTTTGTAAATATCTGGGAAGTGAGGAGACCAATTGCTGGAGTTTTGGGAGAGGAATGTTATCCCATTCGGCTTTGTCCCTTGCAAAAAGGGGTTTATCCAGATTCTCTAAATCTTTTGATGATATTATGTATTGTAGATGGTGGGATATCCAAAGTCTTCGCAATTTTACACTGAGGAACATTTTTCTGAAATCTTTAGACGCAGCTTTTCGCAGATTGGTGAACCTCTGCCCATCTTTGCTTCTGAGACACTCTGCCTCTCTAAAATGTCCTTTTAAACCCAGTCATGTGAGTTAGTTGCAAATTGCTACTCCAGCTGTTTTTTATTAGTACCACTTACTTTTCCAGCCTTTTGTTGCCCCGTCCCAACTTTTAGATGCGTTACTGCCATCAAGTTCTAAATGAGTTAATGTTTTTCATGATATGGTAAAATGTCTCACTTTCAACATGTGTTCCATGTTCTTTTTGTGAATAAAATATGGGTCTATGAGATTTGCAAATGTTTTTCTGTTTTTATTTATATTTATTTACATTTTACACAGCTTCCCAACTTTTTTGGAATTTGGGTTGTAAATAAAATGCTGAAAAAAAAAAGCTTAAAAAAATCTAATACATTTATGTTTATTATATTACATTACTGGCCAAACTTGGACTGTGGTTCTTGTGTTCACATGCAAAAAGAAAGAAATGGGATCTGATTACACATTGATGTTGTGGTTTTTAAACTGCCGTGCACTGTACTGCTGCCTAAAATGTGATGTACTGGTTGTTTCATTGTCTCACCTGTGATGTGATAACCTCTATGGATGCCATAAAGCGATCCGCAATGATGGATACACCCAGGAACAGGTACATAAGAGAGACGAAGTAGACGGCAGTGCGGGCGACCTTGTCTCCGAGCCCCGGGTTTTGAGGCTTCCAGACTGGCAGAATGATGCCAGGCTTACACTCCACCACATCGCTACAGCGCTTTGTCAAATTGGCATCAGTCGCAGAGGTGTTGGTGTATGGTTCCGGCACCATGGAGGGAGACATGGGCTCTTCCTCATGCTGGGATTCCGAAGTGCAAGATAGAGGGATGGAGAGAAGAAGGAAGAGGGAGAGGAGGGAGACAGCACAGCGAACAGAAGCAGAGAGTGCCATGGCCCTTCTCCTCTGGGAGCAGTAGGATGTGACAGAGGAGATGAAAGAAAAGGAGGAGATGCAAAAAGGAGAGGAATCTGCCACCTGGGGGGAGGAAGAGAGAGAGAGAGAGAGAGAGAGAGAGAGAGAGAGAGAGAGAGAGAGAGAGAGAGAGAGAGAGAGAGAGAGAGAGGAATAACAGCTACTCAATTAGAAACAGCATAGCACTTTTAACAAATTCTAAGTCATTAGCAAATTAATTCTCAGTTTACTTTCTCACAACTTTCAGCCTGATTTAGAACACATGCACACATTCTTGTTAACTAAACTACAGAATAAACTCAAGTTTATTTGCCATAACCATAGCCACACATCATTTTTCAAGATATGTTCAGTGTAAATCTCACAAATAGAAAAATCTCACAAAAAAAACACGATTTACGGAACAGACAGCTATGTAGATGACTTATACTGTTAAATTAAACAATGGGCTATAACAGTAGTGCAAACCTTTGCCCAGATCATGAATATGTGGTTGTGTGTCTTAAGATTAGAAATTCTTAAAATGACTGGAAGCACTTTTGAGGTTTTGCCAGTTTGTGAGATTATTGTCCCAGTGGGGGCAGGGGACACCTGTTCAACTCTCTAACACTTCTGTTTCTTCTTTATTGCCTTTAGAAAGGACACAAACACACAGACAGCATTCATTCTCTTAGAGCAATAGAATGGCATGGGTTCTTCAAACAATTAGACACTGTAAAGGCAGATTTACAGATCTTTAAAGATGCAGATTAAAGAATCGGCTTATGTGTAAGCATAGCTCACAGAGCCTTACAGAAGAGGCGATGCGAAACGTTTCCAAAATCCCAACAGCGTGTCATTCAAATCTGAGGTGAAGTGACTGGTGGAACAGGGAAGCAAAACTAAACACCACAAAAAGGCAAAAAGTACATAAGAAGATGGAGCAGTCTGAGGTTTAAAATTGATTGCTATTTTTAGATTTTTCTTTACATGCAAGCATGTCTGCCTGTGCGAACATCAGCGACTGTACATAATTGCATATTCACAAACTGAGTGTGATTCGGCCCTCAGCGTCCATTACCCTCTTTGTTTCACTTGTTTCCACATATTAGCAGAACTTTTCACAACCCCTCACACTCTCTCTGGCTGTGATCCCAAATGCTGACTGATTGACTCAGTAAGTGGAGACCTCCCAGTCCCAGTAATTCAAAAAACCAGACAAGAAGAAGCTTAAAAACTAAACTCTTATGGACTACCCTAATATTTATATCTTGTCATAATCTTTTTACGTAAGCTAAATGTACAAACTCTAAGAGAGCCTTAAACTATATATCTAAAACAGAGAGAGATTTAAAGAACATGTTTGGAGATCACAGACATCAGGTTGGCAAATGTTAAAATGTTGTTGAGCCATGCTTATCAGAGAAAACATACAGCGAGAGAGAGAGGCCTGCCCTGTCCGATGAGCAGAAGCATGCTCACATAGATATTCTCCACAGAGCCTGGGGCATTTCCATAGCGACCCTGTTGAATGATTGGTATGGTGATATATCACAAAGGAGTGTGTGTGTGTGTGTTTGTGTGTGTTTGTGTGTGGTGTTGTGTGTGTGTGGTGTGTGTGTGTGTGTGTGTGTGTGTATATATATATGTGTGTGTAAGAGAGAGAACGTAAGAGAGCAGGACAGAGAGAAATTGCGAGAAAGACAGACAATGAAGGGAGGCTTTTCAGGTGGGCAAAACTACAGATCAGAGGTAGGACAACCTACTCCAAGAGCGAGTCTTTGGGCAAGACTCCTAATGCTAAATCACTTTGGATAAGAATGTCTGCTAAACATGTGAAAGTTTATAATGACTGTAAAGTCAGATTTGGCTTTGTCATAGTTATGTAAAATTACCCTCTTATAAATATTAAAATATTATACTCATTGAAATTTAGATAGCAAAATTAGTCAAATAGTACAACAAACAATTATCAGTTACTGATATAAGTATCAGCCACAATAAAGTATTATCAGTAGTTGTATCAGCCCAGAAATACTATATCTGTGCATCCCTGATCAGATTCCTAAATATCAGAGAGATACAGAGAATTAGAGCAAAGAGACAGAGAGGGAGGGAGGGAGAGGGAGAGGAGAGAGAGAGAGAGAGAGAGGAGAGAGAGAGAGAGAGAGAGAGAGAGAGAGAGAGAGAGAGAGAGATATTTCATTACTGGAAATGCACCAGACACAGCGAACAATCTCTCTCTCCGACACACACGTACACGTGCGCACGCACACACACGCGCACACACACACACACACACACATACACACACGTTCTCTGCATCAGCAAATGTGCTCACATACCATAGGCAGTAGTGAGCAGAGACTGGAATATACTGATGCACCATTTCAGCGCAATTCATCTGTCCATAACAGTCATCATAATATGCTGCTATATTACATAACAGATGTTTCCACATTTTATCATATTCAACACTTAAACAACTAAAACATAAAACTTAATAAATAACAAAAACAAATTAAATTGATCAAAATCTGTGGTAAGATTTAAAATTACCACATAATTAAATTATACACTATTATTTTTTATTATTCATATTTGTTATGTAATGGCATCTATGGATTAGTGATGCATCATGTGCATTTCAAGGAATTCTGGGATGTACAGCAAGCTCAAAGAGATTCCATTCCACTTCAGTAAGCTTTATGTAGTATGAAGCTTTTCTGAAGGGCAGATAGGTGGGCACATATGACAGCCCTTTCCTTATTTGCACTGTACTGCACACACACACGTTTGTTTCACACAGGGATTCCCCCACCACCCCTATACAGGAGATAAAGGTAAAACGGCAAAACAGAAATCCCCCACATCCAGCCAGTAACCTGTGGTGTTAAGAGCAGCCCTGTGAAACGTAAACACCACCAACCTCCCTTTTTTCATCTCGTTCAAAAGACAATGGCCAGAGTGGAACACATGGCTTCTCTCGACATGCCTGACTGGAGCTTGTGATCTTCACCCCGGCTGTGAAAATCACCATCTAAATCACTCCATTAATACCCAATGTGTCTCTTCAGCTGAGCTCAAAAAACCAGCACAGATTTGCTCTGACAACCTTTTTTTAACTCTCAAAAGCAAATGGTTCTTTAGGCTCTCTACTGGAATATCCATGACAGAAAATGGCATTTTAGAACAAATGATAGTCATTTGAAGCAACATCATCACATTTGATAATACAGTAATTACAATGTGTCAGGAACAATATTTTGTGTGTTAATGCTTTACTGGATTTGGGCCTGCATGTTCTCTGCAGCCGGATCATGAACAGCAGGACTTAGACATGGGCCTGTTCCAGTATGACTTCACAGCGCCACACAAGAACAACAACAGCAACAAAAGACTCTTCCTAGCACAGTAGGAAGACTCTTTTGTTGTTGCTGTTGTATCAAGAATGATCTTTTATGTGTTAATGCTCTGCAGGATTTGGACCTGTATGTTCTCTGCAGTCTGACCATGAATAGCAGCACTTAAACATGTGCCTGTTCCTGTATGATGACTTCACAATGCGACAGCATGAACACTAACAAAAGACTTCCTAGCACAGTAATGAAACCAATCTAATATGGAACAAAAGACAGGCAGACACTAATTTAATTACAGGGACAGAACAGTTTAATTATAAGGACAGAAGGCATTTGCCTTTTTGATTTGTTGCAGTACATTTTTTTCAGTCCGGTTTAATCAGTTGGCAGTCAAAAAGAATTTCTCAGATGCATGTCATACAAACATGGGCCAATTCACGTCAACTGACACACACACACACACACCACACACACACACACACACACACAAAAATAAACATTAATATCATGGAAAACAGACAGACAATTTCATGAGTAGAGATGAAACGATATTAAAATTTCATATCACGATTATCATGACCAAAATTATCACGATTATCGGTATTATCGCGATACTGTTCAAATGTGTTGAAAAGTAAAATAAATAAAAAAATTAATACTGATATACAAACCGAAACTCGTTTCACCAACTTGTATATTAACACAAATAGAATTGGCAGCAATATGCACTTTTTGTTTGCATAAACATTAAAAAAATATAGTCAATACATTTGTTGTATTACTTTTGTATTACTTACAATACTTGTAATACTCTGTAAACAAAAGAATAGCAAATGTATTATTATTACTGTTATTATTATTATTATTATTATTATTATTACTGTTATTACTATTATTATTATTATTATTATTGTTGTTGTTGTTAATAATAATAACAATAACAATAATAACAATAATAATAATAATAATAATAATAATAATAACAACAACAACAACAACAACAACAACAACAACAACAACAAACAACAACAACTTGGGATTTCCCTGCATAGAGAATTAAATCTCGACCAACTCTGAGGTGGGTCTTAATGGAAAATTACTGCTTCTAAGAAGTTTTTCACTCAGGGGATTTCTGTCCTAACTGCAATTGCAGAATTATTGTGCCATTGTGGCGCTGTACCCCTAATCAATACAGTGCACCAGGAAAAGCAGCCAAAATCACAGAGGAATTGCGTGACTGTGCTGTGAGCTGCAGACAGTGTAGAACTCACACAGTGTGTCTTCACCTGTGGAGCTGCTTCTCTAAAAGCATTTTAAAACTAAAACATAACTTAAAATTAACATGCATCTGAGCTGCGGCAGAAACACTCCTAAAGTTTAATCTCTGAAACTCTGCTATGTAGTGCACTTCGTGGATCATGAAATAGCAAATCGTTCACCCAAAGAGTGCATGAAATGTTCGACTAAGTCATCTATAATCAACATTAACAATAGGTTACAAATTCCCTATTTAAAACTCAACTGCTTATTAATGATGATTGTGTTTGTTTGAAAAGTAGCGCACTATGCAGGAGACATTGAGTGATTCTCTTCTCAGAAAGTAAACACTGCAAGCGAGACGAGCTGTGCAGATTGAACTTTCGCAGCGTCTCGTTCCAGAGCTTGTGCGACTCTTAACTCAGAGCTCATTTTGGAGACACTGCTCAACAGAAATATTTGTTA